TACTCTACTACTACTACTGCTATTCTAAGAAAATAACAATCACCTCTACTTAATAGTTTCGTTATTTAACTGGAAGCTCACGTCAGTCACGAATAAGGACATAAGTGATAAACCTGCAAAGATCAAAACTATAACAGGACAAAAACCTTAATCAAAAAAGTGGCTTTTAGCGATGGTGACTCAATACTCTAAAGGCTTACGTGGACTAGTGCAAGTACTGAGACTAGAATGTTAAAAAACAACCTACATAACTCACAAAATGTTCTGAAAAACACATTGTCAATGGCAAAGTACTATTTGTACCTAAGCTGATGACCTCAACTGGTGGTAAAAGTAAAGTAAAAGACAAAACCGTCAAGTTAAGATTACTGAATTAGATATACTGACTTACTGAGTTTAATCGTTTTTACATTCTACACATACACATTGAATGACCTTTTTATTTCCAACTAAATAAGTAAATTTTTAAAAACATCATTACCCCTTTATATATTTTTGTTACCAGTAATGAATAAAGTGTTCTCCTAGGGATAACAAAGGCCTACGTCTTGAGCAGGACTACAAGAAGAGGGACTATAAATTATCCAAACAGTAATTTCATAATTTAAACTTTATGTTAGAAAACTGTGTAAAACAAATTCTAAGCATTTGTTTGGCTGATTATACAACTGTGTTCAAGGCCACTGGTAAAACATAAGTTTATGCTAATTCTCTCTCTCTCTCTCTTACTCTCTCTCTCATTCTCTCTTCCTTTCTATTTCATTTTCCCTCTCCCTTTTTCTCGCTCTCCCTCTGCCCTGGGTCACTGTGGTATAATGAGTCTGATGAAGATGGCACTATGTGGATCTATAATTGCAGAGTTATCAGAGAAAGGGGTCAGTGAAGGATCAATAGACTTTTGCTCCTTTTTCTGTTTGGCAAAATTACATAGGAAGCTGTTGGCCTCTGACCGCTGTGTTGCCAAAGCACTGATTAACTATATTATAGGCCTCAAATACATACTTTGAAACATTTTCCAATGGATATTAAAATAACAATAAATCAGAATGTAATTTAGTAAGCAGCTACTACACTGCAATGTTTTACAGTATTTTTCCATTTTCCTTTTCAGTATAGTAGAAAATGCATTGATCTAAATAGCAAATATTTAAAGGCAACATCTTTATTGTTTGTTTGTTTTTTACTTCAAATTTAGTAGACTATGGAAAGCTATAATGATAGGAAGCAAGCTATCACTGAAGTTATTTATGGATAGTCAAAAAATTGGCCTATATTATTTAGAGGAGACACACAATGCAAAATCAACTTAAGAGCTAAGACCTGTTTCTCAAAGATCAATATTGCGATTTCAAAATGTCCAAAATAAAGATTAGTGACTGTCATTGATTATAAGTATAAAGCAGACAAAAGGATTACATGCCTTCTTCAAGTAATCCCTAAAATCTAAAAATCTATCTCTTTCAGCCTTTTCCCAGCACCTGTCCTTTAGGTGCGATGGTTTGTAGGGTGCTGAGGGTGACATTTTGGGGCCAGTCGGCGCTAGACTCCTAAAGAGAGGATCAGACTGTCGTGAGCTGACCACGGCTCAATGTTACTGAGTCAGTCACGAATCACAGCTCAACTGAGAGACCTGCAATGACAGGCACAAATACAGGAAGAGTTGTTGCAAATACAGACTTTTAATGATAAATCAGCATCCCTCTAAAGCTTATGTGCAGTGGAAGAAAGGACCAAGACTACGTAACCTAACAAATTTTATTAGACTTATTCAACAATGGTGCAAGCTTGACTGCAAAACTAAGCTGATGTGGTTTGTAACTGTCTGTTGTTGTTCAAGATTTAAAAAAAAAAGATCACAGAAGCTTAACCTATAATATATGAATTGTTTATGTGATATAAGATTTTAAAAGTAATAATGTATGGAATTAGTTTTTTGACAGTATTTTTTTTCTGAGAAGAGTAGCTGTCAGTTTGATGAGAATCTAAATAAATAAACAAATATTTGTAAGTGAATATATATTGCACATTTTAATAGTGCAATTGTGCATTTCAACAACTGTACTTTCAATTGTACATTAAAAAAAATCACATTTAAGCCTATTCTGCCCACCAGGTCAGTCACTATTCACTATGGTGTCAAATAAAGTCTAAAGGGCCAAAAAGGAAAAGCAATATCATTCTCTGAAATTGGAAGAATAAAAATTTGCTGAAATTATGTGGTTACGAATAACTAGTTACACGTTTGATGCAGAAATGAATAAGTAATGAGAAATAAGTAAACAGGCATTATGCTTTACAGGGAAGAGGTTGCTAGCAAAATGAGATAATAATGAATTAAGGAAACTACATTAAAACACTATTCAAACAACATTGAACACTTTAAGTAGCAGGCAGAAAATTTCAATAACGTGTAATGAAGTTTATGTAAAACGACTTTGAGATACAAGGTTTGTGCTGAAGTCAGTCGAACACTTAACCAGCAAATTAGAGAAAGCTGTTATTTTCCTCTTCAACCAATTTCATAATCCTAATAGGCCCTACTTTGGAGAGCATAATAATAATTGTGTAAATTACCTTAATAACCTAATGTGAAAGGGCCAGGGTAGAGAGATGATGAGTTGGATTAAAATGACAAAAGTCTATTTTCACTAATCTTTACTAATATTAAAGCTACCTTATCCAGACTGTTCTAGTTTTATGGGTCATCCTCTTTGTCCAAAGTCGGCACTCCTCGTCCTTCATTTTCTCTGCTCACAAAATGGCCATGACTTGAGTGGCACTTTAAAACCTCAAAGTGAAAATCTGTCTAGTTCCAGTAGTATTTCACTGTGGCAGTCTTCACTTTATGCAAATGTGAAAGGGGAGAGATAGGAGAACATGACAGGGAAATAGCAGAGACAGGCTAAGTGCTCATACATACGATAAATGCTGCACCCATATAAAGGCAATTTCTTGCCACTTCAGTGTTCAATGTCAATATTGAAAATAGCACTTTCTATAGCTGTTTTAAATGACTGCTATTCTGCCTCATGTTGACAAAGATAGTACAGACACTTTTGTAATCTATGAGAGGGTGTAGTCCTTTGTTCATCCAGGAGTGATTCAATGTAGAGAAGGTTTCATCAGTACTCATCTGGACTGTTTTTGCGATCAAGACGTTTCGGCTCCTATCCAGAAGCCATTTTCAGTTGATTGTACTGGCCTGAATTCCCAGTGCTTCTAGCCAGTACCATCAATAAATGGCTTCTGGCTGGGAGCCGAAACCTCTTGATACAGATTACTACTAAACTTTCTCTATATTGTAATCTATATCTATCAACAAAGACCTTTATCAAAACAGATGACAGCTGGTAAATAATATGGCAAATATATGCAAGGCAAAGAATATAGGACTTTTTTTGGACTTGATTCAGTTAATCATTTGGATCAGCATCCTGGGATACAGTTTGTGTAGTTTAAGGGACAAAGCATTAACCTTTTAAAGGTGCACAATGTGACTTTTCTGGTGGGAAATTTCACCACCTACTTGTGCCATGGAGATGTTATTGTTTTTCCTGGAATATTCCACAGTATTAAACTTGTCTATATTATTCCATTACAGATGTTTGATCACAAAAATAACTCTTAAAACATGTATTTGTACAATGAACAGGGTCCACACACATTTGAACTGAGAAAGATGTTAAATCAATATGGTGAAATATTCCAGGAAACAATAATAATATCCCCATGGAGACAGGTTACAAGAAAATTTACATGGTACATCTTTAACTCTAGAATCTAGAGTTTAAAGAATTTTTGGTTATCTTTCTCACTGCCTTGGTAGTGGTCTGCAGAATCAATAAGAATCAGTAGAATCACTAAACTCTAATCTGAGGTGAGATCTATTTGATTTTATTTGTGAATGATCTGTGACCAACGAGCTCCTTCTTTTCACATGCATTACTGAAATAAACAAATCTGATATCAAGTGAATGGGGACCACACTGGTATTAGACCGTATAGAAAATACAGAGATATTATTCTGGATTTGCCAGGCAGGAAAACTATAAAACACAAAGACAAATTACACACTAAATCACATCGGACACACACTCCCACACAGATCATGGATGTGACACTTGGGAGGGTCAGATTGTAGATGGCAGGGTTCAAGTTGTGAAAAAGGTAATTTAATGAAAGAGCAAAAATGTCAAAACTGTCAATGGGAAATGTCAGGAAGCCATATAGAGCAAATCAGACTTAAAGATACGCTTTGTTCAAACTGAAAGCACCTGTTGGACTTGACAAATGAAATCCAAAAGAATAGGAAGTATGTTTTGAATGTAAATAGCTTAATCATTTGGGCTTCTGTTAAAATGTCTGGTGAAGATCCTTAAAGAAAGAGAAAACAAGTGCACACAGGATTACATGATTACACATCAAACCATATGTGTGCGCTGAAAGAAAACTCATGTTAAATAAACAGAATAAAGAAAGATAAGAAAGTCATTGCACCAACCGTAAGGCCCGATATGGTTAAAACAAGCACAAACACAATGCAAGGAGCATGTCTTGCATTCTACAGTCAGGCAAAAGATTAGTCATTTATATCCAAGATGGATGCTAATGCAAGTTGCAGTGTGGGGAATTTGTGGTCTTATAATATATAAAATTATATAAAATATAATTTTACTAATTTCTATTGTCAATTATAATGGTTAAGTAGAGCTTATATTAAAAAACACAGTATAGTAAAATATACTACAAGTATTTAAAACGTTATATCTGTTCGACAACAATGTGATGTAAATACATAAATATAAATGAAAACAGATTCTGATAATATTTCACTTTTATCTTATATGTTGTTTCTGAATGTTGCAGGCTGCTAACATGCATTAGCATGTGCTTGCCTGTGTTTTGGGTGTAACAAGTCTTAATCCACTTACCCCGCGGGGAGAGGATGCATGCACTTGTTAGGAGGGTAGGGATGTTAGAGGGAGGGGACAAGCACACACCTTCAGTGTGGGACACAGGCAAAGAGATCTCCATGCAAGCAGCAGACTGGGCCTTTCGGAAGGGCGGTCGGCCAGGGCCTCTGCGGGCGAGCCTCCCCTCCGGAGCCACAGGGACGCGGGGCTTCCCCGCCGAACAGGGCTGGGAGGTGGGGCTCGTGCAATGTCCATTCACATGATCTGCAACAACGGCAAAGCATTAGCAAACAGGAGGAGAGAGGAGAAATGAAACTTATTCAGACAGCTCCTCCTAATGCTACGATATCCAACCTCAGCACCTTCAGCTTTAAACAAAGATCTGCAGATCAGCAGAGGCCGATATTACGTTTGTCAAGGAAACTGCATCTGAGTCATTTAGCTGTGAGGCTGGATATAGAGACAGCATCAGGAGCAAATCAATGAGGTTTATCATTGTTAACAGTTTGATGGTGGTAAAGGGAGGGGACAGAGTGACAGGTCTGGTGCATCAGCAGAAGTTAAATATGGAACAAGGAGAAAGATGCTGGAAACAGCGATGTTTGTGGCAGATGCCCTTTCAGATTTACACACTTCTTTTATCTCCAGTTGGTTTGGTCTGTATATTTTGTTCATCGAAGCAATACTTCAGATTACAAATCAAATTGCCATGGAATCTTGTGATATGATAAATTATTGACATGCAAGTTGTCCTTTGATTTTTCTGTTTTGGGCCATTTTGTTTCACATGTATTATTGTTATGAAAAACAGGCTGTCAAGTGTACAGGGATGGTGTGAGTGCAAAATAATTAGTTTAGATCAGATCCCTTTTTCTTCTAAATGAGAGACACAAAGCTCTGTGCAGAGCAATGCACCACAGTTTACACAGCTGTAATTAACTGCTTCTTGTGACGGCTCTCTCAGTCTGTGAGGACAGTAAACATGCCCGGCCTGAGTCAGCGTCATATCAAGAGCTATTGTTTGTTTGGGTAAAAACACAAATTATTTTCAACAATGGAAAACCTCAGAGAGCAACACTTGCCCTTTGTCACAGCGGCGTGGGCTGCACTGGAGCAGGACAGGAAATACAGAGTGAAGGCCTCATGGTGACATGATAAATGTTTAGTTATTCAAACTTGAAAAAGAGATATTTTGTTCTCTATCTCACAAACCCACTGGCTAGACACACATACATTAAGAATATCCAGATTAAACTCACAGATGTACTCTACTATACTATATCTCTTTATGCGTAAACCAGTACTGGTGATCTTTGCAGATCAAATTACCAAACTAAAAAAATAAAAATAAATAAATAAATATATATAAAAATCTGTCAAATTACAAGTTATAACCCACACTGCTTACTGTATGTGTAGTCCCTAAAACAGTAAACGTTTACTCAAACATCATTGACCAAAACAAATCACTTCAAGTCAAAATGCAGTAAAACCAGGCATTGTGTGTTAGAAAACAGACAGCATGTTGAAAAGCAAAGGGAAACCTGTGATTCAGAGTTCATGTGGTTATGTGGAGAGGCATGATGGGTTCTGCCTGATGTGAATGGTCAAAGATGGTCCAGTTATGATGAAAAGTAGCATACAACCCGATCACTTTAGAGCAAAGCTGTTATGAAGGAAAAGTTGTGGGCCCAATCATGATAAAGCAGAAAGGTCTCAGGTTTAAAGAATGACCATGAGTAAAATCACCTTTAGAAACACTTGCAAAATGTAGAAGAACAGAGAGACAACAGTGAAATCAAACACACTTCAGGCCAGTGGAGTCATGTGCTGCAGAAGAGAGAGTGACCACAACTGAACAGAGGAAGTTTGAAGGAAAACAAAATAGAAAGGAAAGAAAGATAAAAGCCTGACAAAAGCATAAAATAATAAGGCAAAGGAAAACTGCTGGCTTTGGCCTACCGTACCAAGATCAGTCTTAAGATCTGTGGGCAGACTTAACTTTCTGCCGGGTCCCTTTACTGAAACAAAAGCATAGGAAACAAAGCACCAGTTAATCCTTTCAAAACAAAAGGATGAAATAATAGAAAATATGCAAACATAAGAAGGGATGAAGCAAACCAAACCAAAGCAAATCACTGAAGTGAACAGAATCAGGACATGCACATGACAGGCACAGCTCCACACATGCTCTGCACTGTCCCAGGCCTAAAGCAGAGCCAGGGGCAGGAGCACTGGGGTTAAAAGGCAAACTGAGGGTAAGTACTGGGGCTGCAGGCCTGGGGGTCCCACATGAAACACAAATAAATATGACACCACTGGGTGTCAATAAAATCAGAGGGAAACAAAAGAACAGGTTAAAACATTTTGCAAGCATTTTGCAGAGGACTGCAAAGGTTAAAGTTAAGATGAATCAGAGGAGAGGAGGTCAAATCTGTCATTTGTGTTGTGTCTGAAATAATGAACGAGGATGAACTCTGCTTAATGACCACTGAACGTGATACTACTGTGATTTGTATGCTCGTACTTGGTACTTCTGCTACTTCTTTCCTTGAAAGAGTGTACATCGAAGGCATGTTCCTTTAAATAAAACTGGTTTAGATGGTTCCTCTTGATTTTAATGAAATATATTTGTCAGTGGCATAGTGTGAGATGGTATATTATCAGCAAACAGAACCATGTGGGGCTGCATGTACCATTACAGTAGGCCAGTACATTTATTGTTATACATCTTGCACTATAGTTATTAGAACTTTAATTACAAACCATATAAAACTTATTTAACTTAGCTGCTTTTGTATCTGCCTTTTTTATGATCTCAGAATCTTACCATGTACCTTAGTCCCTCAGTGTTTCCTTCACGATTGTTGCTGCTAAAGTTTGATTACAGTAGTCTGAGCTTTTAGGTCCCATAGTATTTTTCTTCTTTTTATTATAATAGATTATAGATCTTAAAGTAATTCCAAGTCTGTGGAAGAAACACTGTTTTATTCCAGGAGCCAGAAAACTACAGTCTAGAAGTTACCACAGTGATAGCACAAAGCAAGCTGAAGTCTTATCTATCAGCACAGCAGCTGGCTACACAGTGGGCACCATGCGGTTATTAGACAAGACAGTGATGAATGTTAGCCAAGAGGACAACAAGATGACACTGTGTAGTTAGTGACAAACAGGAGGACACAGCCAGAGACACAGTTAGCCTCTCATATCAGAAGCATGTTGACTGTAAGACTAGTAACAATGAAAACCTGCACAGTACACAGACTAGAGACAGGAGGAGGAGAAAGACAAGCTCTCTCCCTCTGTCCAGAGCTCCTGCCTCACACTGAAGCTAAATGATGGATGATCCCAGGCCCAGCTCCGATCTGGCCTCTGCAGCGGGACAGAGAGACAATGCAACGCCAGCAGCCCACCACACACACAAGCACAGGAGACCACCACAGCTAACCCCTGTCAGCTCTGTACACTGCAAGCAACCAAGATGTGAGTCTGCTGTCAACATTTATGCCACTAAACTGTGTATTTCAATATGCTGTATGTTACAGCAGATAGGGCAAAGCATATTCTATGTATGTGCAGTGGTTCCATAATGTTACAGTGAAGTATTAGTTCTATAGAGGGATTATCAGACTACATCACTTTGCACGCTACTGCGCATGTCTCCTTCAGAAAGAGCCGCTGTCCTGTCTGGTATCATGTCAGTGTCTTGTAGGATTTCAGCATATTTTAGGCTTTCCCAGGGGCAGGGCTAGGTGTGTTGATAAGTTATGAGTGGATGTCCAACTACTGAAACTAGAGCCATTTCTTCTAGTCATTTACGCCCTCACTTGCATTTAACGCATACGAGCCATTAAGATGCATTCCACTAACTAATGTTAATTTAGCATCATATCTTGTTTTATCACTGTTTCAGTGTGCTGACAACAGCACTAGGTAGTGTTGCAACTTCTGCACAGACAGCGGCGCTTTCTGCACTCAGGCTGCATGCGCAACCACTGTATTGATAAACAAATAATCCGTCTATAGGTTGTAGAATAGGTTTGTATGTTAGCTCTAGCTTTGAATGCCATGTAAGTACAATGATAAAAGTGGTTAATTGCCTTTTAAAAATATTTTAATACTCACTATATATTTATTTTATATATGTCCATGAGTTATGACATAAGTAGATATTTTTCTTATATCAATATATAGTTAAGGTTAAAAAGTTTTTTGTTTGTTTTGGCTCTCAATAATGAGATATCATGTAGTTTGGCAAAAAGGTGTCTTGTGGTTTTGTTTCAACAGAAAAAACTAAAACAGTATTTCCCAAAATATTGCGCTGGGAGTCAAAGAAATACAGAACAAATGTTAGTTATAACAATGTGTTCATTGACATAGAAATTATATTTTCTAATCAAAACATTATCTCTTTTGAATAGGAAAAGTTTTCAGGGAGTCAAGAAGATGTCATGTTGTCATGTGACCCACAAATTGCAGGAGATGCCTATTCTCAACTAGAGCTAACACACACAGCCTACTATATATCTGCCATTATGTCATAGTACTTTACTGTTATAGACAGTGTTGCTCACAGTGTGGTAGCATACTAGCATGCACAGTGCATGAGTGAGGCTCTCCTCTCACTCCTCTGTATGAATTATGCATCAAAACCAACAGGCAGATGTCTATGTCTTTGGTAGGGGTCTCAGTCCTCCCCTCTTCTTACCATTGTCCAGTAAGTAAAAGACTGGACTGTGGTGGCTGGCTCTCAGACTGGCCACAGGCTCGGGCAGGACGCGGGGGTCATTGTGGAGGGAGCTGGGGTAATGAACTGGAACCCAACAAAACACAGACAAACTGTTCAGGCCCACAGGGGAGACACATGCAGCTGGACTGGGGAGAGTGGAAAGTAACTGGAAAGAAAAAACAGGGTTAAAATAGAGGAAGAGATTTTTTATTGTAATTTTTAATATAAATTTTATAAACGACTATTAGGACACATTCAGTAATGTTTAGATCCAATATCTCTGATGATCAAGACAATTGATGCAATGTCAAATGGCTGCAACCAAGCTTATATGTCCCTACTTTTTTTGAAATTTTGACAACCACTACCACTACTACTATTACTACTGCAGTCACAGTTCCAGACAATGAATAATGCTTAGAAAAATTTAAACCAATGATTCCAATGAGTCCTAACTTATTTAAATTTACTAGATTGCAACAAAAATACTTACGTACTTGAAGTCACTATTTCAGAAACAAATTAGGATGCAATC